TTGGCCACAAAGGGTACATAAAAAAGCATTTGGATGACATTGATCACATCCTCACCTCGATAAACTGTATAGCTCAGTTTGTTTGAAAAAATATTTACTACAAAAATATTACGATCATTACCAACTATTAACAGTGAGCATGCAAACATTATTATAAAAAACTATAACGGAGGGTGATATTAAAAATTGTGAAACTCAGTTGAATTCATTCGTTCAACAATTTGAAACATTGTACGGTGTAGGAGAAATGAAATAAAAATGTTCACTTGTTACTACACATACCCTTATGTGTACGTAACAATGGTCCTATGTGGACATTTTCTTTGTTTAATATCGAGGATATAAACGGAGTTTTGAAAAAAATATGTTAAAGGCCCATAGGAGCCTATTTTGCAAAGAATAACGCGTTGCACATTAGCACATATTAAAGAAAATACTAATTATATCTCAATTCGCCGTGATGAAGTAAAGAAGATTCTACAATAATATTCTTAAGAAGCTTCCTATGGATGCTTCATTTTGAAACTTCTAGATCAGTAAACCTGAGTAGCTACGCAGTAATATAGCAATTTTCCAAGGTTTACTGATCAAATTAAAAAAGGGTCCAAAACATGAACAACATGTGTAGACTATAATTGGAACACACCATAATAGGAACGTCTACCAATAACTGGGAAACCTACCCTAGGTATGATTCATAAAATTCACATTTTTTTTCCATATTTTCTTAAGAAGATTATTATAGAAGCTTCTTTTGGAAGCTAATTCTAGACGCTTGACATCGCTCCACACCTCTACCTAAAAAAAAACACTGCAGGACAGTAAATCTAAGTAGTTACCCAGTAATGGAGTAATTGTTCATGGAATATGGATCAAAATTAATAATATAGTGTCCAAAACGTGAATAATATACGTCTAATTTATGGATCATGGCTGTTCGGAATATTGGGATAACCCTGTACCGCAAAGCCCAGCGACAATCCTGTGGGAGATTCGGAGAGCTACACACTAGGATTATTTTACAGATTTCTGTAAAATTTTACCGAAATCTCAACAGCTGAACGTTCGGCAAACAATTTAACAGTTTTCCTGCAATTATTTACAGATATCTGTGAAAAATTCAGATATTTGTGAAAAATTACAGGAAATTTGCGAAACTGTTTACCGAACGTTCAGCTGTTGAGATTTCGGTAAAATTTTACAGATTTCTGTAAAAATTTCTAAGTGTGTACGGTAACGGTTGCTGTCAGAAACCGTGTGAACTCACAGTTCCGTTGAACCAACCGTTAGATAGGTCGGAGTAATAACGAGAAAAAAAAGAGGAAAATAAGGTACAATTCCAAACCATCTAGAACACGTTTTACAGCTAAATTAAGTTAATTGCCTAAACCTGTTACTATACCTATCGTTCAATTAAATTGTAGTGATTTGTAGTGAACTAGCTACTGAAGTATGCTAGTTGGAGGTGAAATTCGTGAAAATATTGAATTTAATAACTCTATATTTGCTTAATCTAGATACTACAATTTGATTTACCTTAAGTAACTAGTAAGTAGCTTATTTTAATAATCATAATAATAATTGAATCCCTAAATCCTAAATCTAGCCAAATCTTTGTTGAAAGAGTGACGGAAGATAACTTTCGGTTTGAAAAATCTCCCGCTCAGCCACCTATCGCTTTTCATGGAGGAATTTCTTTTCCTCCAGCGCTTTCTCTTTTGCGCTTTTCTCCTGCTGCAACTGGTCTAGGGATTCCTCCAGGCTGACCTCATTGGTACTTCCTTTTCCAGATTCTGATCCGGCATCACTCCTCGCACTATTCTTTCTGCTAGGTGGTGTCTTTGGGACAGACTTCTTAATTCCTTTCGGCACCTTCTGCATATTTGTCGAGGGGGGCGACACATCTAAATCTCAATTCTAGATGCTCAAAAAATCTCACACTAGCGAATCAATCTTCGAAAAATCATCTTCCATTTCTCGCATCTACTAGCATCGCGCTTCATCTTTTTGCAGGAAATCTTCAAAATCGACATGAATCTTCCTTCTATCTACTCAGCGTGCGTGCAGCTAGCCACAGCAGCAAAACACAATCTTTTCTGCATCGTAGATAGAGTCGTCCCCCTCGATATTTGTGTACTTCGAGCACGTCTACGGAACCTCCTTTACAGCTGTTGTCTCACCAACACAACTATAATTGGTCCAGAAATCGCAGACATCACACTGGACATCTACGTGGTCATGGCCTTCACAAAGCGTACAGTTCTTCACTCAACGGTGGTGTTGATCCCTCTGATATTTTGAGGTTATTTCCGATGTTGTTCTTCAAGAATGTTCGGATTAATGAAAGCAACTTCCTCAGAGCAGTCTCGTTTTGGGCAGCTTGAAGCTGAAATAGGTTTTATAAAACTAATATAAAGTCTAAACCAATCCTAATGCTTATAATAAAACCTATTTCAGCTTCAAGCTGTCCAAAACGAGACTGCTCAGAGGAAGTTGCTTTCATTAATCCGAGCATGGCTATATTTTTAAGTGCGCAAACTTGATTTTCTATGGATCACTTTCACTGGTTTAAGGTTCACTGCTGAATGTGTGATGGATCAATTGCAGTATGTTTATAGGTAATTCGTGAAATTTCAATGCTCATTCTTTAGAAATTTAGCGGTACATTTTTACAATTGTGTTGCTAAATTTTACATAAAATATGGATCATATGAATATTTTTTATGGATCATTCACACTTTTTTAAGGATTTTCTCCGATGTTTTATGGATCATTAGGATGTTTTTTATGGAACGATTTCCAATATTCTATGGATCATTTATTGGTTTTTATTTGGTTTTTTACTTTTTCCTTACCTACAGGAGCAGCCGATTTTGACGTTCTACACGGTAAGAAAAGAGTACCCAACGGCCAGTTCACTTTTACCCACTTTTGACTAGTTTGTCTCCTTTTCTCCTTCTAATGTTGTCAAAAACGGAGGAGCAAAACCACCCAAAAGGCATTGGCGTAGCTAATAGGGGTGCCAGGGGGCCAGGCCCCCTCCAGAATTATCTAGGCCCCCCTTCAGAATTATCTAGGCCCCCTCCAGATAAATTGTCTAGCTAAGCCAATGCAACAGGGGTAGTAAAGTGTGGGAACCCAACGTTAAGTATTATCATATTTACCTACTTTTGGGTACAACCAGGCATGGAAAATCATTTGCATTCATTTCATACATTCATTTACATTCATTAGCCTCTAACTTTTTTCATCAACAGCATTTCGCAAAATGATACATAAAGCTATTGTAGGTTTTGTTATTAACTTTTGCTCATAACTGTAATCTGTATCTCTTATGCATCACGAACTAGAGCGGGCAAAACTTGTTACTGTTTTTCAGTGAATGTAAAATACATTCACTGAAAAACAGTAGTGGCTTCTGTTTGCTCTGGTTCGCCATGCATAAGAGATACGGATTTAACGTGTCTACAAAAGTTGTAGCTAATAATAAAACCTGCAAAAACTCTATACATTATTTTGCGGAGTGCTGTTGAAGAAAAAAGTTAGAGGCAAATGAATGTAAATGAATGCACGAAATGAATGCAAATGATTTTCCATGCCTGGGTACAACTCACTTACTTTTGGGTAGAAAGCGAGTGGAAAATTCCATACGAATTGCACACAAGTAAATGAAAACTACTTTGACCCGTTTTACCTACTTTTGGGTTCCTGCACTATAGTGCCGAGATGAGTGAAAAGAACTTACTTTTGGGTACTTTTTTCTCACCGTGTACAGATTAGTCAATGCATGAGTAAAATATCATCTATTTTCGATTAAACTACCAAGAACCGCAATTTATCAAGGAAAGCTAAGTAGCGTCACATAAATCAACAACAGATTGCAATCCACCCACCAATCATCGCGCAAATCACCGCCATTATTCAATTCCATCCGCAATCCATAATTCAATTTATTCAAACCGACATCGTACCGTTTTTTGTCCCACGAAGATCCCAAAACTATAAACTCTTCCTCCAAATTCAATTAGGCTCACCTACTTGCCATCTCCCTCCGTCCCATCCGTCGAGTTCCTCCTGGAGATTGTCGATGTTATTATTTTCAATTTTGAGCCAACTGCCATTTATCTTGTTCGCACAATAAAAAGCTCTTCTCATGCCCTCACTTCTCACCGCAGAGCACAGTTCAATTGTGTTGGCGCTATTATCCACTTTGCCCGGATTCCCTCTGGACGGATCGAAGCTACCTACACCTAGGTATCTCCGTGGCTATAGCTAAGCCGGAAAACCGGTTCGCATAAAGACTTTCTTCAAGATTTAAGTGGATTCTGTGCTGCGGTTTAGTGCAGTCTTCGATGCACTCGCAAAACCCAACTTCGGACCGTGGACCAGGGGCCACGGGGAAGCAGCAGCAGGAAGTTCTCTATCTTTACTCCTAGTCCGGAAAAGTACTCTCACGCACTTCTAACATTATTGTGCTACTGCAGGAGGAGAAAAAGTTGGTCTTTCTTCGTGCTACAGATAGCTGAACGACGAACAGGTCGATTTTACGGTGATGATGAGGATGATGGTGATGATGATGAGGATGAGACATTAGAGCAGTTCCGCCAGTTTCGATCGAAACTGAATAGTCATTTTGCCAATTCATTCTCACAACAGCTTTTGTCACTGTCACGAAATGAAAATGAAGAGATGTCACGTCGCTGGAGTATTTTCAGTATTTTCGAAGCTAAAGAAAACGTACAGCAAATTTAAAAACTCAGTCAAAATGGTTCTACATTTATTTGAAAAACACACAATTCAAGTCCGTAGCGGTTTCGACCATCCCAACCGCCATCAATCACTTGCAAAGAAGTGTAATCTCGACTCATTCCCATTCAGAGCACGGCCGCCCCCTCCTCGAGCAAGAAGGAACCGCAAAAATTCACGATGCAACTTGGCTGGGACATTGGAAGAAGACATTGATGATGATGATGATGATGATGCAATTCCTTCTCCTACATTCAATCGGCCCCACCGCCGAAAGTTGGCAGAAGCTGCGGTGGTAGTGTCGCCGTCCTCAGGACCACCTCGGTGGGATCTGGCGGCGGTGTATCCGCCGGTACCGCCCGCAATAGCTGATCCCTTAATTGATTGTTTTCCGCCTTGAGCATGCAATTTTCCCGCCGGAGAGCTTCCAGCTTCCGCTGCAATCCATCGGTCAGTGTCAGCATTTCGCTCTTCCAGCGGTCCGTGAGCTGTTCGTTCGTGTCCAGCAATTGCTTCAGCTCCTGTTCCCGGGCTTGGCTAGTTCTTTGGGGAAGGGAACAGGAACAGAAACAGAAAAATGTAGATCGTGATGTTTGGGAAGAAAAATGAAAGCAAAAAGCAAGAGATGGAAAGGATATTAGCTTGTGGTTAGGCGCGATTTCGACGGGGATGAATTCAGCTTATCATCTATATGCTATTTCCAAACTACCCAATTTGAGTAGAATCCAATCGATGTTCTTCATTTGTCCACTTCAACCAAGTTTGTTTACTAATTTTTGAGTAGCTTCACTTTTGACCGATATGGGTGAATCCTGGTCAAATTTGGGTAGTTTGGAAATAGCGTGCTGCCCATAATATACAATGAGTGCAACCCTGTCAAAGCACGATGCAATAGAGAAGACTATAGTGGGGCGGTAGCACCGTGCAATCAACAAAGAAGGATGGATAGTGCAATATTTGATGAGTATCAACCTCGAGGGCTATCGGGGTCGTTTTTGCTCTGCTGATAGTACCAACCGACCGAACCCGGAGCGGCCATCATATTACGTTGAAATGAGTTCATAAAATCTAACGATGCAATAACACATTTTATTCAATAATTTCACCGTTCTATCGTCGTTTCGAGACGATCGTCAGCAGCAGGGGGCCGGCCGAAACGATGTGAGTTCATTTTTCATCCGTTTGAAATTGGCTTCTACAAATTGGATGACATTGAAGCCAAGTATTGCGATGTTCCAAAAAAGCTTTTTATTAAATAATACTTGCCGTGCAAACCTGTGTGAGTGGCTGGCTGTGTTCAGCTTGCTAGCAAAAGTATTATTTTACTTCCATAACTGAACGGCATACAACCTAGCCAATCGAAGAAACTGTTGCACGCTATTTCAAACTACCCAAATTTGGGTAGAATTCATCCAGATCGATCAAAACTGAACCTACCCAAAAATGGATAAACTGTGTTGGGAGTGACAAGTTGTGAATAACAATTCTACCCAAATTTTGGTAGTTTTTAAAAAGCGTGTGATACGGCACGTCATGCAACAATGGCTGTCCCCACAATCATTAAATAAACGTGTTTTTGTATGCGTACGAAAGACATATTTCTACCAAAATAATAAATGACTAATGACATATCTTAAAAATGGGCCAGAATTGAACGAATAAGATCTGGATTTTAACAATTTCTTACCAAAACATTGCCAATTCAATCAAGCATTCGTAATAAATGCATTAAAAAGTTCGATCAGTCGATTTTGATCTGCTCAGGGCTGTAGGGTTTGTGGCTTTGGCACCACTGGAGCGAGTTTCTTATTTGAAATTATAGATCGATTCATGCTTCAGCAAAGATTTAGAAAACAATATTTTAAGCAATTTTGCTCCATATATGAGCGGTTCCACGACCCACGTAGACTCGCAAATCGTTTCGGATAAACAATTGTTTCCTTAGTTGTGTACGCGACTAACTTCTGAAAAGGGCTTATGTAAACATGGTGTCGGAGGTTTGGGCAGTGGAATCCGCGTGATTCAAGTGTGGAATTCGGGGTAATAAAATATGACTCGCGATTTTATTGTACTTAACTGAATTGCGTTTTATTTGTAACTGATCGATGGCAAAAACAAAGAGATAGAATAGGGTTACCAACTCTGTGACATCGCACTATATGCCCTGTGGGAACAAGGCGGTTCAACACTCCTCCTCGATGTTCAGGGTTGGCCGGCTGCTTCACTCCGGAGACCCAGCATTTCGGAAAACTTCCGAACCTTGACAGCTCCCAACGGTTTTGTCATTATGTCCGCGACCATGTTGTCCGTTTCGCTACTTCAGGATAATCTCCCCTGATGATGAAAGCTCTCTGGTGAAGTGATACTTAGTATCTATGTGCTTGGAACGACGGTTCTGCTTCTCCAGAGTAGCGAAATCCAAACAGCTTTTGTTGTCTTCCCAAACGATGGTTGGACTATGTTGTTCCTCGTTGAGCTCCTTCAACAGCCTACGTAGCCACACAGCTTCTTGTCCAGCCTCTGCCAACGCCACATATTCGGCTTCCATCGTTGAAGTAGACACGCATGATTGCTTACGACTTCCCCAGCTCACAGCTGCACCGCCAAGAAGAAAGACGAATCCGCTATTCGACTTCCGATCAGCAGTGTCACTTGCCCAATCGGCGTCGCAGAAACCCTCCAGCTTCAGGTTGCCAGCATCGAAGTACAAATTGCAAGTTACTGTACTGTACAATCTGTAGTCCACCGTTCCGCACAAGTACCTTACAATCCGCTTGAGTTCATTCCAATCCGCTTGCAAGGGGTTGTTGATCTTCCGGCTCAATATTGACATTGATGCTGCTATATCAGGCCTGGTATTGGTGGCAATATACAGCAGCGATCCGATCAAACGATGATACTCGACGTTGTTCGCCAAGCTCTTCGACTCCAATCTGCTCTTGTAGTAGCCAGTATCCATCGGAATAGTCGACCGTTTCGCCTCCTCCAAATCGTAGACCTTGGCAATCTTCCGGATGAAAGATGCTTGGTTGATTGAGTAAACTCCATCCACTCCTCGTTTCACACTGATCCCAAGAAAATGACGGATTACTCCCAAGGAAGTGATGTTGAACTTCTTCCTTAACTGCTCCTCAACCTTGCGGGTCTCCTCCTGCAGACGCCAAACGACGATCATGTCGTCCACGTATAAGAGCAGGTACATTCGCTCTCCGTTCCTCAGATCGTTGATGAACAAGCAGGCATCCGAGGCAAGGTTGCAAAGACTCATTTCAGCTAAAATAATGATTTTCGGAATAATAAAACCAAAAGATGGTATGATGGCATGTTTTACTTGTAACTTACAAGAAGCGGTTACAAAGTATGCGTTGGAAACATAAAACCTGTAAATTTTGCTTTCTATGAGTCACAATCAGCGATTTGCTGATCGCTGAGTGAGTGAGTGAGTGAGTGAGTGAGTGAGTTTGTGAAAAATCGCTGATTGTGACTCTCATGAAGTGAAATAAACAGGTTTAATATGTCAAACACATTCTTTGCAACCTCTTCTTGTATCCTACCAATTCAAAATTTGATCATGGCATCTAATTATTTCATAATTTAGAAAAACATTGTTTTAGCTGAAATGAGTCTTTGCAACCTTGATCCGAGGCAGACTGTTGGAACCCAATGCTAATGAGGAAATCCTTTATAGTATGGTTCCAAACCCGAGCGGCCTGCTTCAGGCCATAGATGCTCCGGTTTAGCTTGCAGACCCAGTCCTTCTTTCCGGGAACTTCAAAACCGGGTGGCTGAGTCATGAAAATCTCCTCCTTCAACTGGCCGTAGAGGTAAGCACACTTAACGTCAATATGCCTCACCTCCATCTTCTTGCTGCTCGCCATAGCCAGTAGTACCCGGAATGTTTGTTGCATCGTAACCGGCGCGAACACTTCCTCGAAGTCACGCCCGAATCGCTGAGAATAGCCTTGCGCTACAACCCTGGCCTTGAAGCGCACAACTTGACCATCCGAATCCTCCTTCTTCTTAAACACCCATCGACTACCAACGGGTTCGCGCCCCGCAGGAAGCTTCATCAACGCCCAGGTATCATTTTCTTCCAGGGAACGCATCTCCTCCTTCATCGCTGTCAGCCATTTCTTCTTGTCAACGGAAGCCATCGCTTGCTAGTACGTCGTAGGTTCTTCACTGCATTAGGTAGCTAGGCTAACCTCACCTACTGCATAGTCGTTCAGCCGCTGCGGAAGAACACCCCGCGTCCTTCGTTGCGATCGGCGCAGGCCACTAGCTTCTCCTCCTGTGGCTTCACCGTCCGTATCTCCCGCTGAATCGCTTTGCTCATCTGATCCGGAATAGAAAGATTCATCGCCGTCTTCGTTATCTTCTTCATCCTTATCCGGGACCACTTCCGGAATCAAATCCTCTTCGGTTCGGCCGATCACGACTTCAACATCCTTTGAGCCGCAATCTCCTTCTGAACGGATCTCCGCTCCCAGTTCCAGAAAGTGAGCGTCTCTGCTAATAGTCAACCGTCGAGTCTCCAAATCGAGGAACCGATACGCCTTGGCTTGGCTACAGTAGCCAATGAAAATCATCTTCTTGGTCTTGCTCTCCAGCTTTCCCCTCTTCTCGCTTGGGATGTGGACATAGGCCTCGCATCCGAAAACTTTCAGATCCCGCATCACTGGCTTACGTCCGAACCAGCGTTCGAACGGCGTCCGGTCGACGGAACGGGATGGCAGCCGATTCTGGAGAAACGTCGCTGTCAACACTGCCTCACCCCAGAATTCCTTCAGAAGGTTGGCATCGATCAGCATACACAATGCCATTTCTTGGAGGTAACGATTTCTTCGATCGGCTACCCCATTCTGCTGAGGGGAGTATGGGGTAGTGTACTCAGCTTTAATGCCTTCCTCAGCGAAAAAAACTTCGGAACTCGTTGTTTACGAACTCGCCACCGTTATCTGACCTTATCACCTTCGGTTTCCGGTCGAATTGGTTCTTAACCATATTCACAAATTCCTTGATCTTCCCAGGCACATCAGACTTATTTGCCAGAAGATAGACCGTAGCATATCGACTATAGTCGTCGATTAATGTGAGGAAGTATTTGTTTCCTCCTGGGGTGACGTGCTTGAACGGACCGCACACGTCCGAATGCACTAGCTCGAGTATTTCCGTTGCACGCCTCTGCGCTACCTTCGGGAACGACTGCCGGTGCAGCTTGCCTTCAAGGCAACACTCGCACACCAGCTTTATCCCGCAATCAACCACCTTCATCTGGGTGCCGAGCTCCTTTTTGTTGATCAGGTCCACCACGTCGTAGTCCCTGTGGCCAAAACGACGATGCCACGTATGCTGGCAGAAATCGGTATGCCGAGCAGTAGCAGCAACCATAGACCTCGCAGAACATCTCAACAAATACATCCCGTCGCACAGGTCGGCGACGGCCACCGTATGGCCCTTGGTATTTCGGATTCGACATCCATGTGAATCGAACACAACGGAAATATTCTTAGCTACTAGCTTACTTACTGACAACAGGCTACCTTCCAGATCTGGAACGAACAGGACATCTTGTACCTTCACCTCTTGATCCTTTCCGTTGCCGTTCACGCACAGCAGCATCCCGTTGCCGACGCCTGCAGCAACTGCCTTCTTCCCGTTCGCAAGAGTAACATCGACATGCACGTCTTCCACCAGCTCCGAGAAAAATCTCCTGTCGCCTGTCATATGCTGCGACGCGCCGCTATCGACGAACCAGTAGCTCTTCAAACCGATGGCAAAACAGCACTTCACCTCCTCGGCATCGGTGGTTTGACCTGCACTCGCCCAGAATAGTAGGGGTGCACCGGAATCCTGTGCTTGCTTCGCCTTTGGTCCATTGGAACTCCGGGCTTATTACAATGGAAGCAAACCTTTTCCGCAGACTTCGATTTCGCCATCGTCTTCAGTGCCTTGCTGTCATCGGAGCTGCGACCACGATCCATCCGCTTCTGGTATTCGTCTCGAAGTTTTGACTTTACCAGCTCCATCGTAATATCCTCGTCGGGGCGACTCTCGAGCGCAGTCACCAGGCCATTGTACGTTTCCGGAAGGCTTCTCAAAACCATGGCCACTTTCATCTCCTGCTCGAGCTCCAAACCAGCCGCCTGCAACCGATCAAAAAGCTCCTCGACGTCCAGCAGGTGCGATTCCATATCGCCTCCTTCGTGCAAATTCTTGTTTCATAACTTTTTGAGCAACGAAATCCGTGAAGTCACAGTAGGCCTTTTCGTGGTGCGTTTTCAACGCATTCCACATCGCACGCGCACTCGTTGCATTTTTGAGCAACCCTAGCTGATTGTCTTCGATGGTGAGACCGATGGTAGCTTTGGCCTTTTTATCCTCCTTCGTCCACTGCGCAGTGACAGGCTCGGGCTTGGCCTCGTCAATGACATGCCACAACTCCTCACGAGTAAGCAGCATCTCCATCCGGAACTTCCAAACGTTCCAATTCGTGTTGGAAAGTCTCAGGAACGAAAACTTCGCAGCGTCCGCCATCTTCCTCCACCTCGAGAAAAAAAAATCCTCGTGCGCGCGACTGACCGAAAACTTAAAACGCGTAAAACTCGGAACTTCCCGATTGTCCGCACGAAAAAACTGGGCCCATAACCTGTCGGAGGTTTGGGCAGTGGAATCCGCGTGATTCAAGTGTGGAATTCGGGGTAATAAAATATGACTCGCGATTTTATTGTACTTAACTGAATTGCGTTTTATTTGTAACTGATCGATAGCAAAAACAAAGAGATAGAATAGGGTTACCAACTCTGTGACATCGCACTATATGCCCTGTGGGAACAAGGCGGTTCAACACATGGCACGCATAAATACAAAAATACATATCTCCAGAAAGATTTGCATGAACAAGATGGTGTCTTCGGCAAAGTGGTGTAGGATTACTGTATCTTTCTAGAATAAATATACACTGAAAAAAAATTGCCAAATTTGCTCATCGCTGAGTTCCTGCACTTTTGGCGATTATGAGTGAACTAAACTCAAATTTGGGTCGTTCTCATTCGCCGTGTAGGTATATCAATCAATCTGTAAATCCATCCCCTTGAAAATTCTCCAATCTCTAGAACTAATATTGTTCCACCATTGCTTCGTAAATCCTTATATCAATTCTCCTTCGCATATTAATAGATCGATGAAAGAAAGCAGACGGAAAAACTACCACTGGAAAAACGAATCGAAAATAGATAATAATTTTCATTCCCACTGCCACTTACTTGCTGATTTCACGCTCCTTCGTTGTCGTCTTCTGAAAGGCTTCCAATTTTAATTCCATTTCAATCTGCAACGAAAATAATAACAAATTCAACAATTGAAGAAGTGAAGAATAAAAACAACGCTTCGCAGAGAGTGCTGGCCGGAAGGAAAACACGTTAAATTGCCATAAAGTCTGCTGAAGACTGAGCCGTCACGTCGTCGTTCTCGTCGAGAGCTTTTTCTTGTTTCGTGTTCGCTAATTAAATTGAATTTTTCCTTCTAAACTCCCACCTCTCACAATATAAAACACAAAAACACCTTTTTATATGGCTAGAACGGTGGGGTGGGTGTGGTGCGAGGGGAGGGGTAACACTTACTATCAATTTGGAGGCCGCGTGGAGGTCCGCATTGAGATTCTGGTTCGTCACAATCAGACTCTTGAACTTGTCCTCGAGCGCCCGGGCCCGGCTTTCCGATTGGCCGGTTCTCTGCTGCTGCTGTTCCAGCGAACCTTTCAAGTGCTCTAGCTGCCGCTCCAGGGCGGTAATCCTATTTTCGTAACCCACTTTCAGAGCGTTCATTTCGTGTTCCACCTTCCGGGCGGCCTGCTCCATCACTTGCCCGATGGTGGATGCGAGAAAATCGCACTCCTCCCGGACGCCCCGCTCCCGTGCCGCCACCGAGTTCTTCTCCTCGATGGCCGTATCGGCAATCTGCAGGGCTTCCTGCACTTTGATCAGGGCCTGATTCTCCCGGCTCATATGTTGCCGCGCTAGAGCGTTAGCCTGATCCAGAAGCGCCTCAAGTTCGGCTTTCCCCCGCATGGCTTGCTCCAGATCGGTGCTTAGACGCGATTCGGCCGTACGACGCTCGTCCACGGTTGCCTGCAGCTGCTGGTGTTCCGATTGCAGGGCTGGGACCGATGCGATATGTGTGATGTGCAACAGCAGCAGCAGCAGCAGCAGCATCAATGCGATGAAGGGGATTAGAGAGCGATGAAACGAGAAAATACGGCTTTCATTAGCATGCATGACACTTCCCTTCACAAAGTTTATAATTGATCAGCCTGGGATAGTCGGAGACTGCGATATGAGGTTCGGAAAATGACGACGTTGAGTGAATATGGGGAAAAATGTCATTGAGCAGGGCGAGATGTTCACGTGTCTTAAAATTCTGTTCACGGAAAACAGCTCAAGGGCAACTTTTGCCTCATCATAATTATACAGGGAGCGAAATTCCTATAAGCGCATGGATGTTTTTCAAAATTATTTATTTACTACTGCATAAGAATGTTACACATCAATGTTGATGTTTTACATGGCTGATGCCTGAGATCAGCAAAATCACGGCTGATTTTAAACTTAGCTGATTTTGAGGTAACAAAAAACCAAACGGAAAATCAATAGCTTGGTATTACAGTCAAAGTAAAAAACGGACATCCACCGCCATTTTAAAATCCAAATGGCAGACCAAAATCAAATATGGCAGCCCCGGACAGGAAATATGCATCTTCACCAATGATATTGAAGGTATTTACATTGTGTTACCCCTCACCATACATAAACTTTTATGGCACTTATATGTGCATGACGGCCCTTCTGGCAACACTATATGTTTAATGTGTACATAACAACAACAATAGTAAAGTTTCGTCTGTTCTTCCGTGAAGTGCCGTGCGTATTTATTTTTGATCCTTCCGAAGCCAATACGTGTGTCCCCGCTTGCGCCCCGTGAAAACTCTGTCCGCTTCGGTCCTCCCACAGATATAGGGATTCTGTGGAATGGGTTTGATAAGAGCTGCCATTTTGGAAATCAAGGGGCCGCCATATTGGATTTTGGTCCGCCATCTTGGGTTGAAATCCACCATTTTAATTTCATCTGGCATGTTGACTTGAATTTCAGAATGCTCCAAACCCTAGAATTTCACATATCTTCTGATTTTGATCTTGATTGATATTGATGCTGGTTGATTTTGGGAATCGAAAATCACGGCTGATATGGGTCGAAAATCACGTGTGATTTTCGTGGTGATGATGGCTTGTGATATTGGTGCCTGTGATTTTTGGTGATATTGATCTTGAAAGATTGCTGATTTTGATTTTCTGATCTTGATTTTAGCCAACACTGGTTCCTAGTCCCATCAGGCCTGTTTAGAGAATGACCACCTTGGTGGGATTGGTTTGAGTTTCATATGTAGTAGGTCCATTTTATGCTTAATATGCTTTTGGGCAAAATAATGCTTCAACAGCAATCAAACATATGCTCTAGCGAGGGGGCTCTGCAGCGAAGTCTCTCGAGAGGTAAACCCTCTTTTAGGTGCGTGAACTCTAGAGCACATTATATTCATTTCTCTAGAGAGAGTGATTTTAGTTTCCACCACAGAAGTTCTCATTAAGCGCTCAGACTTGTGAAGAGCTTTTAGTGGGTTGGTTTATTTCCTTTAAATTCCGTTATAATTGCTTATCTTTTGACAGATACGCGTATTTCGTCTACTACTTGCAGACTTCATACTCAACACCACTTGGCTTGTCGTGTTCTCACAGTGGATGCAATTCTAGAGAGCCGAGAAGGCGTCGAAACAAAAGGGGAGAAGAGATCGATATTACGCTATCATAACGATCGACGTCAAGAATGCGTTCAACATCGGATATTCATAGAAAGTCGGATATTCATCCCGAAGCAAAAGTATTTATATCAGAAATGTTAGACCAGAACATACTAGACCACGTCAGAACAAAGAAGCAAATCGCTGATGTTCTTACTAAGGCGATACCGACTGTGAAGCTAGATGAAGCAATGAAGACCCTCGGAATTCAATAATTCACCATTAAGGGGCAATGTACCTTATTAAGGTGATTCCTTGTAGAGTCCACAAATGGCCGCCACGTAGGCTATGCATGCACTTCCACTTCGAATTTTCAATTACACAAATCTCGAAAATCGGTGCCCCATTCCACCTGAAATTGCTACTTCATGTATGATGCAGTGCAGCAAACGTGGAGAAACAATTTGAATGTTGCACGTGCCGTAGAAGCTGATATTTCAGTGCTAACATTTGAAAACGGCACAAAAGCCATTTGTAAACAAATGGTTTGTGGGCCCTTTACTCACTACTTGAAGTACACCCACGCGACACAACAGCAACATCGGGTAGGGGAAATTTTCCCCTTCCTGACGATGCTGTTGGTTTGCGTGGGCGTTCTTCGAGTAGCGAGTAAAGGGCCCACAAACCATTTGTTTACAAATGGCTTTTGCGCCGTTTTCAAATGTTAGCACTGATTTGTGCACTTAATGTTTCTAGGTGGTTCCGAGAATAAGGATGTCACAGTGATTCACTTTAACTGAATTATTGTAGATAGCAGTAAGCCATAATAATAATAAAATAGCCTTTGTCATTCGCAACCCAAACCTCTTCCGAGTCAGACCAACACACTTATGTCGTTTTCTATTTTGCTACACTACACCGGTGTAGTGTAAGCAGCAATAAGCGCGAGTCATTGATAGCTCATCATCATTTGTTTGTAAACAAAGGTGCAATCGATAGCTACACCCTGATTTTTTTCAGTTTTTGGCGGTGTAGCACCGGTGAACTTATTTTACGAGTGACGGAATCCGTCTTTGACATAAAAGATGAGACGTAAACAAACATGTCATGTAATATTAAGTGCTCCGAGACTGAATAGTTCGTTGCTCGACGAAAAGTACGTTTGATTGAGCCATGTTTCGCGTCTGTCATGACTCAAATTTATGTCAAAATTTACGCTCGTATATGTCAGAGCACCTAAATTTACATGATTTTTTTTAAGTGTGTACTTTTATCACAAAACACCCCCCCTCCCCCCTTTGACTTTAGTTTTTTTTTTTGTAAAGAAAGCTCAATTAATGTTTTAAAATTTAGTGATAAGTATACACTGGAGTCGCTTTTTACGCGGTTTTTTTTTACACGGTTTTTTTTTACGCGGTTTTTTTTTACGCGGATTTTGGAATTTACGCGGTTTTTTTTTACGCGGATTCCGGAATTTACGCGGTTTTTTTTTACGCGGTTTTTTTTTACGCGGGACGTATCACCCGCGTAAAAAGCGACTCCAGTGTAAACTGATATTTTTTAAATTTTTGTTGATTTTCTAAATTTATCTAAATTGCATATGCTTAGTCAAATAACAGTTTATTTGAAATCTACGCATCATTTTTGATATATTAACTTTTTTCCTGATTCCAGCTGCAACAAGGGGTATTCAACTCTGCACATCTCAATCTGTGTCGAGAGGTTTATCTCTGCCAAAAGCTGTGCCAAGCGTTGAGCCGAACGTGCCGAAGTGCCGCAATCAAGGTGTCAGTCTCAGTATACCATAAGTTTAGCAACCCTGCACTTATGACTTTTGAGATTGTTTGTTTACAACTTCCAGCTCTCGTGCACGGAGAACCAAAACTACCCAACGGTTGAGTTCTTTAGACTTACTTTTGAGTTGATGCCTCTCACTTGCTCTCTAGTTGTTGTCAAAAACGAAAGGAGCAAAACAACTCAAAGTGCACAGCACAACTATCGTGCATATTTTAATTTAATTCTAATCGAGTCGATTTAACATCATATACGATTTAATCTGAAATAACAAATTCATTTTGAAAAGTCTTACGATGTAATCCGATTCAATTTGTGATACAGTACGACGGAAAAATGAGTCATCGTATATAAGTCGGAAATTTTTATTCTATACGACTTAACTTAAGGGGGTATTCCCAATCTTTTGCCTTTTTTCGGCCTGTTTCTCAATTAATTTTTTTTTTTAAGGAAAATGAATAGTAATGCGCCTAACTCTTTGGGATTCTTGTTTATTGAACATTAAAGTTTACAAATAAATTTTTTTTTTTACATAAAAAAAGACATTATTGACGTCACAAAATGGCGACAAACAGACCCCTGTTCGCCGCAAACGCCTGGACGGGCGAAGACTTTTCTCTGGAACGGCTTCATCTGAAACAGATTTCGTGATGAAATTAATAATCTGCATAAGATTCTCTGGAGCTTCTCCCGTTGGCAGTAAAAAATCTTGCAAATTGACAAAATGGCGGCCATATGAAAAAACAGGCTTTTTTAGCCCGCTTTTTTGCAACTTTAAGGTGCTTCAAACAATGTTAAATGTTAATATTTATGGCTGAAAGTGGGAGAAGCTCCAAAAAATTTAATAAGGAACAAAATGCGCAAAGATTCAAGTCAATATCTCTTATAGTTTCTGAGAAAAATCTTCGCCCGATAAAAAAAATGTGGTTTCGAGAAAAACGCGTTTAAAGTTTTGACTTTAGTTAAAACCATTTGGGGGTTCTTACCATTAGTCAGCTATGCCAAGACACCGAATACGCTGATCGGAAAACAGCTTGGGGGGATGAAAGTATATAGTCTAAAGTAAAAAAAAACGTGAAAAAAAAAATTTGATTTTTTGAAAAAAAAAAAAAGATTGGGAATACCCCCTTAAACATAATGTGAGGTATGCCATTCTTTTATGCGATTTTGACTTAAACTGTAGCAATTTACGATACTGTGTGTACATTGTTATACGACTTCTGGTTGTCTGGGTTTCTTACCCACACAAATCCCAACAATCCCCCCGCTGATCTCCTCTGCATAAAAACAATCCTGCAAGCATACCCTCGCTTGTCTCAACAAATCCAACAAAACCCTTCCTCCGATCAAATACACACATAGCCCGGCAATAAGGATCCGGCAATAAGAGATACCGGCAATAAGGAATCCGGCAATAAGGATTCCTGACTGTACACCGCTTTTTCCTTGACCAAACAGATCAACCGAGAGTGGAATTGCGCTATCCTGCAGTGAATTGGAAGCGCGTGTGGCTTAACATCGGAAACAGAAGACTCTCTTCAGCCCAGCGTAGTAGCTGGTATTTACTCGTTAAC